ACCTGTTGAATGCCGGATAGCGAGTGTGCAGCGATCCATGGGCCATGAATGAGATGACGGGTAAGCGCTCTAGGTGAAAAGGAGGCGACCGCTGAACAAGACGACGTGACGATGGCTGAACTGTCTGCCGCGCGACGGGTTGAAACCAATGAAGCAGGATGGCGTCCATCGTTTGAAATAGGACTAAGGGTGCGTGACAAATGGCAACGGTCTCCTTCAGCGCAACAAAAACGTAGACAGAGTATGGCAGAAACTTTTAAAAACTTCTAGAAAGTTTTCGCTCAACTCTGACTTGACGGTAGAAATACAGTACCACAAATACTTCGTAAACCAACATAAACTTTGCAGCAGGTGTTTCGCAAACTTCAGTTGGGAGAGAACCAATGACGAGGAAATCCGGGACTTCGGACAGAGCGCCGAAATCGGGGATTTTTCCTAGAGAGCACGATGGCTGTGCATTCTGTGACAGTCGAGTCTACATACCGACCGTAAGAGATTTTGTGGCTGACACTGAGCAAGGATCGATGCTAGATGAGGTTTCCACGATGATATTTTTCAGTTTCAAATTCGTTTGCTGCTATATTGCTCTGCTTAAGGTGTCACTGTTACCTTTGGAGGATCTCACGCGATTAATGTGTGGCAACACTGTCTACTCTTTGATTAAAGACACTGTCATCGGGGTTGATTTAACGAAATGCTGTGCAGGGTTGCAGAAAAAACACGCTCTTCTCAATCTGAGGTAGGTTTTATACAGCTTAAAAAAGCTAGCTTCATCCTCTTGTTTGCCGCGTTGAGGCTATCTTCATACTTTGCGGCAGCGTCCACTAGCGACCATTAGCGTTTCGAGCGTCCGTCAGGTAACCGACCACTGAAGTATAGATATTGACCAGGGGTACGGTATTGTGTGGTAGCACGGTGTGGTTGCTTACGCCACAATTTCACGACGCCTAATCCAGCTGTCTGCTGCCTCCTACTTCCCCATACTCTGCCAGCAGTCTGCTCCCCTCCTACTTCCCACTCCCTCCTACTACTTCCCCATAGTGTCTTCCTAGTCGCTGATGACGCGGGTAGACCGCTGCGCTCGCTAGATCGATATCTAGACTTTCCTAGTAGCTGGTACTGACGGACGCTCTGAGATAGCGCTGGTTAAAGGCAGTTGGCACGATGGTTTCCTACTTAGCCTAAAATGCTAGTAGGGCGCTGTATAGTGGGGAAATGGCGAAAGAACGGAGTGAAACGGTCAAAATCCTGCGAAGAAAAAGCCTCCGTTCTCAGTGACTTGTAAATCGATTTCGGACGAGTTTCCCGTAGGCATCTTACCAATCACCGCTACCGAAGATACGGCTGCATATGTGTACCCATATATGCATGCAGCATCACGGCCGCTTCATACCTTCGCTTCATAATTTGCTTAGCAAATGAATGAATACGAGCGTCAGGAACGGTCGTCCATTTGTGGGCGGGCGGGCGTGGCGGGCGTTTGGGACGTAAAGTTGTGGCTTGATAGGGCCCTTATAAGGGCACCTTCCTCGGGGAAACCGCTATGCAGCGCCTGCCCAGGGTCGCGGAATTCTATCCTGCCAGGAGTATTGATCCTAGTCGTCTTGGGGGATTTATCGTGCCAACTGCCTTTAAGTCATATTTCCCGCTCACAGATCGTAGATCTTGCGGTTCAAAGGCGATAGTGCATATGCTGGTGGACTCACCTGTGAGGGGAAAAAAGCAAAAGATACGTCGAAAACGCCCTGAAGAAGACCCCTTCGACCGTGTCGTAGCCAAAGCCGTTACGGCGAACGCCATGTTACAGATTTGACAGGGCAAGAAGCTGCAGCTATCCAACGTATACAGTCTTGTTCGCTACGGATGAAGGAGCGTGTCAGACGGGATGGGTTTACGCGGCGACCCCATCCCACCGGTTGTTGTTGAAGTGGGTAAGCGGCAACAAGAACAAGAACTTTGTGGAGAACCACTGATACGAAGACATCATGCAGTCTTTCGCTTGCTCGTTTCAAGAACTGATGGAAGAAGAGTTTGGCTCCGCGCCAAGCCCCTCCTTCTACGCCTCTTCATCAACAGCAAAACATAAACCTGAAAAACTGGCATTTTTTTTTCTTAGCTATTCATTGCCACAACGGCACGTGTGTGGGAAAAGGTTTCATGGGCGCAACTGCCGATAAGCCAGCAGCTCCTTCTCCTAGGTACTTTCGGTCGTGAGAAGTTCACCTTCTTGGTAATTGCGGACCCCGATTTCCCACTTGCAGTGGGTATTGGACTTCGCCGTCAGTGGTCAAATTTACCTTTAATTAATTAAATTTTCTCACACATATGTCCTAATGAGGTGGTACAAAATGTAATCAGCTCAAGGAACTTTTAGGGCAATTGCAAATGACGATTCGATCAGGAGAGGATCGCTACGACTCCTTCGTCATGAAGGGTGCAGGTAAGCTGTTCATTTTGAATATGAGAGCGAAAGTGAAGAAGCAAGTCCGATACTTAGGACGTCGGTTTTCAAAAAAAAATTTCAGTCGGAGACCTGGGGACTGCGTCGTGCATTTAGGTGGAGAAAGCCCATACCCCATAAATTTCAGGAAGGAGTTGTAAATCTAATAGTTTTACAACCGATTAGGGGTGGGTGATAGAGGGGTACTATCAGTAATCATGTTCAGCTGGACCACGTAAAAGGAATCATGTCTGGGTTCCGCATCTCTGCATTCTTTTGACCACTGCTTCGCGTGGATTGGTTCTTTACTTCTTTTTGCAGCGACGAGTTTCTCACACCATCGGCTATAAGCTCATTCATTAAGCAGCTGGTGTGCTTCGTAATCGAAAGCTCCTCATGGAGGTTCAATGTGGTAAGGAGTTTTTCTTCCAAATGGAGTCCAGACTTCTTTCATTCAATAGTAGTTGTTTTCAGGATGAATTCAGTAAACGCCTATCGCAACGTCTTGTTTTAGCTCGTCCTGATATGCCACTGACTGACCCGTTTTTCTACAGTTATAAAATTTATCAGCTGGGTACGTGGTTTTGGTGCGGACTGAATTTTATTCATTTATTTGTTCATTTGCAATGCACGCGGAGGTGCGCTTCAGTGTAAGGGGATCTGAGAGGGTTGTAAAGATTGGAACAGACAGACAGAGACTGTGAGAAGCACAAATTAAAGACCAATCCGAGTCGATATTCTGGATAGTGGAGCCCAAATAGGGATGCTAGGCCAGGGAAATAAGTGGTGGAAAAAACAGAAAAGTTGTCGCAAATTCTCTTAATTGACCCCCTGTTGTGCGGCAGGGGCGAGCAAATGGTGGATCGGACGAGACCAGCCAGACTGTGGTGTTGCGGCCACTATGGTCGGCAGCAAATGATTTAGGCTTTCCTAAAGGCAGTTGGCACGATAAATCCCCCAAGACGACTAGGATCAATACTCCTGGCAGGATAGAATTCCGCGACCCTGGGCAGGCGCTGCATAGCGGTTTCCCGAGGAAGGTGCCCTTATAAGGGCCCTATCAAGCCACAACTTTACGTCCCAAACGCCCGCCACGCCCGCCCGCCCACAAATGGACGACCGTTCCTGACGCTCGTATTCATTTGCTAAGCAAATTATGAAGCGAAAGGGATTTGGTATGAAGCGGCCGTGATGCTGATGCATCCGCATACCATGGGTGCACAGCATATGCAGCCGTATCTTCGGTAGCGGTGATTGGCAAGATGCGTACGGGAAACTCGTCCGAAATCGATTTTCAAGTCACTGAGAACGGAGGCTTTTTCTTCGCCGGATTTTGACCGTTTCACTCCGTTCTTTCGCCATTTCCCCACTATACAGCCCTACTAGCATTTTTGAGTCTAAGTAGCAGACAAGCTCGTGCCAACTGCCTTTAATGACAGGAGTCTGTTCTAGCGGGAGTACAAACGGTGGGCGGGGCCAATGAATGTGGGTTGGGCCAAAGAGGGGACGACGATATTGTGTCCTAGTCCTCGCTTTTATTGCTAAAACGCCCCGCGCTGTCCTTAGATGTGCTCTATACACTGCTTCCATGGATTGTGAGAGTAAAAGGAATCGCTGAATAATATTTTTTTAAAGTTTTGCCGTTTTGTTCAGTCGCTATTGGCCTCTTTATGGTTCCCCAGATTTCCATAAGTTGTTCAGATCATTTATCCGAGCAAGATTACGCTGATATTCAAGAACAAGCAAGACTGACAGCCAAGGAAGTCAAAAACTGCTCTTGGAGTCTCTTCTAGCAAACATTCTTCGATTTTTCGTTCTCTATCCGTTCATGCGCTTACGGTGGGTATGCTTTAATGTATACAAAATTGGTAACGTCTGAGAATACTTGCAAAACTTATGTCCACATTCAAGAGACCAAGTCCAGACCAGAATTTCAAAGTCCGGCGAGGTGATGTATCAGCTGAGATATCCGGCTCCAGTGAATCTTCTGCCTGTCGCAACAGATTCAGGCGAGGTTAGTCAAGATTTTAGCATTTGTTAGTTCATTTCCTTATCATTACTGATAAGAAACCTTCCTCCTTTTTTCGTCTCACCACTACCAGTGTTACTGCGTCTGAAACCGAAGATTGGCTTATTTTCAGTAGCCGTATCCCTAGAGCAAATGCGCATCAGTCGAACTACAAGCGCGCGTTTATGCTCCGCGAAAGCACAGCAGCGATCACCGTGATCGCGGCCCTGTTGACGACCGCACCGCGTCCCAGTATAAACTATCTTGGGCGACCATGGTTGAAATTCGCTGTTCCATACGTTTCTTTTTTCTGGTTGCACTATCATTACATTGGCTATAAGATTCGAATTTTGATAGGGGGTGTAGTAGAAGCACGGTGTTTGGCTAACCTGTTAGGTCGGTGTTAAAATCTCTTATTCACTCATGTTCCATCATTCCTTCTTTCCAGAAGAGTGAGTTGAATGGCTGAACACTCTTCGTCTAATCGCGTCTATCGCAGTAACCCTTCATAACTGGCGGTTGCAGGATCCCGTGTAAATTTTCGTGGCATGTGGCGGTCACCAGTCTCACTGATGAACGCGATCGCGTTTGCCACAATTTATCTAGATTGTCCGGAAGAGTACGGTGAGAATGAGTACTTTGAGATAGTGAGGACTCTTCCCAGAAGCATAGTGGGACCTCTTGCTTCGAGAGGTAGATCTTCCCCCAATACGGCAAATTCTGGTAAAAAGTATTGTAGGCGGTGAGTACTAGCATTGGCAAATCGTTGCATGCACTTGGTAAATAACAGCCGATCCTTTATGCAGATGGAATCCTGTGGGGCAGTTTGGCCTTTTTTGGAGGGCATTTTAAGTTCAGCTTATCATATTTACAATTCAGTTCCCGTCAATGTGGAAATCGCACAGACTCTCCGTCCAGCTACGGAATGTAATCTAGGTTGGCTAATAAGTAATGGCCGTTTTTTTCAATTGAAAAATTTGTTCGAAAAGTGAAACGTTTTGCAAGCAAGTTATATATCATCTGATAGGAAACTTCTCGTAGTATAAGAATATCAAAAAAGCTTTGGTTGAGGATATAGTTTTGTGAATTTTTTAGTCGTTGAAGTTGGAAGTGAAGTCGGCGAAAATTAGCATCTTCGACAACTGCCTCTATTTAGAAATTTCATGCTAATAGTTGAATTAATTGAATTTGAATTTGATATTCTAATACTACGAGAAGTTTGCTAAACGATGTTAAGCTTGCTTGCAAAACTTTTCACTTTTGAAACAAATTTTTCAATTGAAAAAACGGCCATTACTTATTAGCCAGCCCACTAGCAGTTATTAGCCAGCCCACTAGCAGTGGGCTGGCTAATAAGTAATGGCCGTTTTTTCAATCGAAAAATTTGTTCCAAAAGTAAAACGTTTTGCAAGCAAGCTTAATATCGTTTAATAGCAAACTTCTCGTAGTATTAGAATATCACAATTCAAATTCAATTAATTCAACTATTAGCATGAAATTTCAGGTGGAACAGACGTGAGCCTGCCCAATATTGGCAAGGTGAAGGTTGCCAACTTTGAAATTCTTGAAATTAGTTCCAAAGCGTCCTATTGAGATTCCCTTGCTGAGACTTCTACCTCAACCTTTTCCGAATGTATGGAGCAGCTTAAGCGATTTTAGCACTTCGAGTAGACGTAAATAGAGGCAGTTGTCGAAGATGCTAATTTTCGCCGACTTCACTTCCAACTTCAACGACTAAAAAATTCACAAAAACTATATCCTCAACCAAAGCTTTTTGATATTCTTATACTACGAGAAGTTTCCTATCAGATGATATATAACTTGCTTGCAAAACGTTTCACTTTTCGAACAAATTTTTCAATTGAAAAAAACGGCCATTACTTATTAGCCAACCTAATATATAACAAAAATCGGCGCTGGTCA